CCGGGAGTCCCCCCACCTTCCTTCCCACAGCTGCATCCAGGCCCAAGCTGGTGTCACTAGCGAGCTTGTTCTGCTCCTCCACAAATGGGAAAGCCATACACTACTGCCCACGCACAGCGCAGAGCCAAAAGCACGATGTTTGTGCACATCCTTACACGTGAAAGCAAGGAGCAAAGGGCGGCACTGCAGTGCATGTGCTCACACAGTCCGGTCATAAACCATCACCACAGACAGGGCTATAAAAGCACCTTTCTGCTCTTCCAGATGCGGGCTGATGCTGACCATCGCCACCAACCTTCTGCTCTGGCTGCTGGCGGTGACCAATGACTCCATCCACATGGAGATTGAGTCTCAGCTGCGAGAGGTGGAGCAGCGCCTGGCAGGCAAGGCTCCTTTCCCCACATCCCTGCTCGTGTTCAGCTGACGCAGCGAGCACAGCAGCCCTCAGTCGCAGTGATTCAGACAGCACAAGCAGCTCCTCAGAATTCTGAGGCTCCCCCGTTATCAGATGTTGACCATCTCCCTCCTAATAGCTGCCTTCCTCTCCTTACATCCAGGCAATGAGACAGACTCGTGTGCGTGCCCAAACACCACCACCTGCAAAGTCTTCCAGAAGGGCTACATCCTGCTCTATCCCTTCAACACCGAGTACTGCCTCATCTGCTGCTCTGTGCTGTACGTCATGTGGAAGAACGTGGGGCGACGCATCAGCCACCACCACATTGCTCACGTCAAGCCCAAATTCAAGCTCCAGGGAGTGGTTTTCGGGCCCCTGCTGGGTGCTGCCGCCGTAATCATTGGGATCTGCGTCTTCATGATGTACCAGATCCAGGCCACAGGCTCAGCTCCCAATTACCAGGTCTTCGTGTTGTATTATTCCTACTACATTGTGCTCCTGCCCCTGATGTGCGTGGTCGCAATTATTGGGACAGTCATCCACACCTTGGAAAAAAGGGAGCTGGACACACTGAAGAACCCAACCCGCAGCCTGGATGTGGTGCTGCTGATGGGAGCAGCCCTCGGCCAGATTGCCATGTCCTACTTCTCCATTGTCGCCATCGTGGCCACCAACCCCAGAGACATGCTGAACAGCCTCATCCTGTCCCATTCCGTCCTCCTCATCTTTCAGTATATCACCCAAAACATCTTCATTATCGATGGGCTCCAACGGCAGCCATTCGTAGCAGCAGAGGCCCAGCACACAGCGCATGCTGGGCAGCTTTCTGCAGTCCCAGAGCTGCCTGGTGAAGGGGTGACAACACCGAGCAGCGATCAGGAGCACTCACAGACCTCTCCCAGCAAGGAGGAAGAAGTGAGCGAAGAGCACAGCCGCGAAGCCCACGAGCAGAGGCGAGTGAGCGTGCTGGAGCTCGGGCAGGAGTTCCGGAGAGTTTCCCTGTCCTACATCCACACCTACTCTCACCTGAGTTGGAAGAGGAAAGCATTAAAGGAGATCTCGTTCTTCTTGGTTCTTTGCAACATCATAGTAAGTACTGCTTTCTTTGCCACACCACAGCTTTGCTAACTTGCGATACCAAGACAGATGTGCATCTTTCTTTTGGGCCGCCATTGTGAACAGGAAAGTTTTACCCACTAGGATTCCTCTTTCTAGGGAGTTGAGACAAGGCTGCTTCTTCATTAATGCTCCATTCCCAGAACTTCAGGCTCCCTCTTTTACCTCAAACATGGCAAGGCTTCCTGGGAATGGGAAGGAGGCAGCCAATACATCCTTAAAAGCCAGAGAGTTGTCAGACTCACTAATGGTGCTTCATGAAACAGCTGGGGAAACATGAGGTACCAGCAGTGAGCCCTCTTAATCATGTCTCCACTCACCCAATAAAGCAAACTTCGGAATCTTCAATAAACATCAATTTTCACTGCAGCTTTAAGAAATGGAAAGCAATTGACCAAGTGAAATTGTGTGAAAAGACGAAGCTGCCTGGGGCAGAGTGAGCTTAGTGTTCGGGTCCCAAGAATTTAACAGCGTTCGACTTGTAGCAAGGAGTCAGCAGTGTAACTCTCCTCTTCCTCCCACACAATGAAACCCCTCTGCTGCTCTTGCGATATTCCTACAATTCCTTGCGCCAGCACTGAGATGACAGTGCAAGTTTGCCACCCCCTGACGTGTGCGTTGTTGCTTTGTTTTCCTTGCCTCTGTAGCTGTGGATCATGCCCACGTTTGGGGCTCACCCCGTGTTTGAGAACGGGCTGCAGAAGTCATTTTACGGCTACTCCACCTGGTTTGCCATTGTGAACTTCGGCCTCCCACTCAGCGTCTTCTACCGCATGCACTCCGTCGGGGGGCTCCTGGAGGTCTACGTCTCAGCCTGAGCCAACGGAGGCCGAGGCGAGATGGGACCGGGCAAAGATGCAGTAAGCAGCTGCAATGCACCTGGAAGTTTTCAGCCTTTTCTCTCCAGCTTCTGTTTTGACTTCTCCTTGCACAACACCTCCATGAGCTTCCAAAGAAAAGGAGGTGGTTTTGTGTTGCTGCTTTTTTTCTCCATAGAGAACAGAATGAAAACTCATTAACAAGCTGCATTACTGCTCTACAGAAACATGCTGGTACTTCTCAGCACCTGCCAGTGGATGCTGTATGCTAAAAAGTGGGACTTTTATCTGGGAGATTTCAGTAGCAGCTGGTAAAAGAATGTAAGAGCAGCAAGGGCTGACCTACACTGCACGTAAGTTCAAAATGCAGTCAAGGACCACCACAGCCTCACCACTGCCTGCCAACCACAGCACAGAAAGCTTGCACCCCGCAGCACAGAAAGGCCCTAGCAGCACCAGGCACTCCAGCAGCACACCCACAGTCATTCACAAATGAACCAAATGTACACTTTGTACATGCAGCGTCCAAATGGATCGTGATGCTGGTAGTCGCTGTGATGGCCAGCAGAGGTTAATTCTGTTTGCTCCCGGTGCTGACATCCAGCATACCAACTTGTGCTGATCTCGTAGGACTCCGCTGCCCTGCAACACCACACTCCTGCAGCTCTCAGTACTGAAGAGCAGGACAGGCCCGCAGGTTTGCACCATTTCAGGGCACTTTTTCCCACTACTGAAAATGGAAGCAATAACATTACTTTGCCTCGATGAAAATGAACACTATTTCCCCTTTCAGGCGCTCACAGTCTCAAGTAAGGAGTGCCACAGAAGTGCAATGGCTGATCTTTACTTGATGCTACTTACAATGCTCTCACCTCTGCACTAGCAAAGGTCCCATCCTCATCTGCAGAGCCAGTTCAAGAAAGACCCACTGCACCCACTGCCAAGCCTCCTCCACACCAACACTTATCCCCACAGCTGCTTTGCACATCCACAAGCATTTCACAAGGTCCACACAGAGGATTACAGTTATGTGGTGTCTGACCAACAGCTGTATGCACTCCACAGAAGATGCCTGCTTGAAAAGCACTTAGGAGAGCAACGGGGCTTAAATTCTGCAGGTCTTAAATACAGACTCTGATGAATGAAAATAAAGACAGATTGAGAACTTATGTGTGTCTGGCGAAATCTCTTCTCTGTTCTTCATTCACCAAAGAGCAGCCTCAAAAAAACAACCGAGCGTTCAGAGGTCAGACAAGATTTAAGGGCAGGCTCTTGTTTACAGTCAATCTATTTTTTTGCCATCGAGATCTTTCATAACCTTCACCCACAGCCAAAGTAGCAGTGCAAAATGCATCCACATTAATACTTCAGATTGCCTGTAAATCAGTCCCAGAAACAGTGTGGGTTTAGGATCAGAGCTATGGGCATTTTTGGGCAACATTATTTTCACCCTACTCGAGAACTACAGAACTACAAACTCCTGTCCACATTATGCTGCCCTCCTGATAACTCGGCTTTCGGGCAGTGAAAAAACTCTCCGAAACTAAAAGTGAGAACGACCTCATGAGCATGAACTTTGCCCACTGACTTAGGCCTGTGTCAACAGAAATATGGCATGAGAAACAACAGCTGGATAAATTAGGCTCCAGTAAAGTTAATTATTATTCTCATTCCAATTCGTACCTACAGGAGATGCATGCCAAGGTCCGCCCCCTACAAATGACACAAAAAAAGTCTCAAATCCACTCCCTAGTTTTTGACAGCATGAGGACAAGGAATGATTTACTTCATGAGAAAACTCACAGCCTGGATTTTTATTTTTTTTTTTAAATGACACAATAGCTAAAACTCTGTTCAAGTTACTGAGCCTCCATCAAGCCCAGTGGCTTGGGAGGTTTCCCTCTGAGACATAACATTAAGTCCCATAACTGCTACAAACAGGCACAGACTGAAGAGGATGCTGGTGAACAGGACGAACTTCCTGAACACATGAAGAGCAACGAAGCCCCCCTCCAACTTGTACCAAAGGCCCCGTAGGTCAGACGGAGTGCTCTATGTCCTTTCCTAACAACACCCAGTTCTAGCACTGCAGATATAGGTAAGGTAAGAAGCCTGCAAGAGACAACAGCAAAAACCCTCGTCCAGGCCAAAGAGAAAACTGTGGTCCAGGGTTTCAGCCTTTCACTTCAGAGGGTGAAAGTTCAGGCTCTTCACGACTCACGCTCTGGTCTGCATTGTGTCTATTATCCAGGAGGGGGTAAAACCATGAATGCAAAGTTTGCAAACAGCCGCTGTAGCCATCATTTGTCATTTGTCAACTGCAAGCACCCTCCAGAGCTACCCCAGGCCCAGGGCACTGCCTTACAGGTCTCAGCAGCACAAAGGTCCCAGCACACAGTTCAACAACTCAGGAACCTCCATCCTGTTCGATCCAGTTCCTTTTCTGTACCTTTCAAGGCTGTTACCTTTGGTGACGTCTCACGCTGTAATCACAGAAATGGACAAAAGTGCACAGTTCAGGCTCATGTTTCACAGCCTGATCTTCATCTGTGAAGTAGAAATTCCATGCGCTGCAGAGGAAGCCAGCACGCGGTCCCATAGCAGCACAGCTACTCAAGCAAGAGATAAGCAACGTTACAAACCTCTCTGTGAAAAAAATAAGCCATATATTGCATGTTTCAGATAATCTTTATCTTTCACTTGTAATTAAGCAAATAGTTTACAGTGCAAGTTGATTTTCACAGAACAAAGATTAGACTCCAAACACCAAGAAAAACAAAAAATGTTTCCAAAGGAACTCACAAAGAAATAAAGCAGAAAAGATGGAAGAAATCATAGGAGTCAGTAGATCCACAGGGGGAAGAGGCAAGCACATGGGACACAAGCTGTCCCGCTCTGGCTGTGAGGTGTGAGTGCCATACAGTCAGAGGCCATCCCCACCAAATCACATTCTTGTATACGAGAGATTCCTACTGAAACAGAGATCTCACCCTGCTGATAGCCAAAGACTGCATCAGGATGAGTGTAGTGCTAAATAACAAAGCAGAGCGGAGATGGAACAGGGAAGAGGTGAGGAAATTAACCTCTATTTCTCGTATTTCTTATCCATCAGAAAAACCATCCAGGCTTTATTTCAGCTTTCAGCTGCCCTAGGACTGCAGGCTACTTTCAGTGTCAGAAGTGGAGAAAACCACCTGCCTACAGACCAGCAGGTGCTGGAGATGAAAGCCACGCTGCCGTCACTGTAACTCCAACACTTAGGGAAGGGCCACCAGGAACAAGACTGCACACCCTCCCTTACACAGGAGCGTAAGACCAGTTTCCACAGAGTGATCTCGCCTGTCTGTCATAGCTTAGAACAGCTGATGGCCCAGTGACACCCAAGGCTGAGGACAAGTGCAGCACGGATTAAGCTTTGGTGAAGAGGTCACGACAGGGCCTTTGGCATTGCCTTGCCTAAAGACCTCACAGGCCTAAGGCAGCAGCCCCTCTCCACAGAGCACACGGTTTGATGACTCCACCTACCAATGTGCAACTACATGCTGCTGAACCATGCCAACAACAGCCAGTCTTCCACTGCTTCCTGCTCTGCCTCCCCAGACTTTCAAGACCTCATGTCTTTCACTAGCAAAATGCCCAGAATATCAAATTTTGCCTCAGCACTCACTCTCCACTCCCCAGTGATATGGAGATGCTTTTCCTCCTACAGCTTCCAAATTCCTCCCACAACTTCCCTGAGAGCCATCCTCAATTTCTGGCTTCAGACAGTAGTGTGCAAAAGACCCCTCTGCTCCACAAGCAGAGTCAGAAGGATACGGTTCCTCTCAAACCCAGGTGACAGCGTCCCTTCAGTCAGCTGGTGAGGTCCAATAGAGGCTAATTACCTCTTCTTGTTGCCGCTGAGCCGGTCCATTCCCTCCTGTGTGCTTATGAGAATCAAATCCAAAGTGACACACACACACACACACCACTGCAACACTCGACCATGAAGGACAGGTTGCTGGGCCTGGAAGCCAAAGAACACCTACCAGACCAGAGTGCCACCTACTAAAGGACCTCTTCAAGCAGCTTTCCAGGAAAGAAGTAGAGAGATTCAGAGCTGAGACAATTTTCTTCCTTCAGTAACTTCCTCTTTCATTTGGATTGGAAAGATTTCCCTACCAATATACAACTGCAACATCAGGGAGACACCCGCAGTCACAAGATGTGCCCCAGAAACACTGTGGAGCCACTTGAAAGTAACTACCATTTCCAAACCCCACTGCCTGCAGGAATAGCAGCTTCTCCCTTGCACCCAACTTACAGTTAGTCTTTTCAATTAAATGCTGACACTGACCAGGGCAAGGACAAGGTCAAAACAGTTTCCAAACCAAATCCAGGAGCAAAATAATAACAGAAGAGCTAAGAACAGTCTGACTTCTAGTGCAACCACAACAATGGACAATCCCTTAGACATCTTTCACCCGGGGTTCAAGGTGAAGGGTAAAGGAGGAGAAGTGAGCTGGGGGAGGGATGTCCACACAGGCCCCAATTAAAGCTTTAAATGACAGGGAGGTAAATGGAGTGATTGTCCTTTTGGTCTCCCATCTGGATGTGAAATGCAGGAACAGCTGTGATGAAGCAGCACACAGCAAGGTCTTTAGATCCAGTGTATTTCTCTTAGTAGAGGTAAGTGCTCTCTTAGACTCGCTGAATTTCAAACAGCTTCACATCTGTGTCATACCAGATAGGGGGATCCACGTTCCTAGGAGAGAAAGACAACATCTACTTTACTCTCTGTGGCTGGGTACATGGAATTCAAATCTTGCAGCCAGGATTACAGGAGCTGGCTACACAGAATGCCTTCAGCTTTGCAAAAAAGAATATCACTGGTTGAGACAGCGGCCCTTAAATGGATGACAATATCTATAAGATTCCACAAAGGCAAAGCTTTGCATTAAATCATCACACCATCCCCTCTAAGTTGCAGCAGGGAACAGAAAATCCACAAAACCCCGATCAAGCATTACTCCCAGACCAACTTCCTTCACATCTCCCACTCAACTTCTGGACCTAATTCACCCTATTCTTTGCTAGAGGAAAAGCATCTTTCTGTCCTCTAAACAAGAGATAATCTTGAGCTGGCCAAGTGCCTGCAATTCTCTCTAGAAAGCCTGGAGAAGACCAAGTCAGACTGCATCCAGATGGCATACCTCAAATAAATCACACCCCACATGTAGGTCCGGAACCACATGGCAGTGCCTGAGTTAGCCTGATACTTGCGAATGAGGATGGGGTGAGGGACTGGCAGCAGCCCCACCAGCGTGCCATGCTGCAAGAATTTGAGGATCTCTGACTCATCTGTGAGACCCCTGTAAACAGACAGAACAGGAATATAATTGGCACGTCCCACAGAAGCCACAGAACTGCCACAGCACGAAGTATCAGTCTAAAGAAACACACACTGTCAGACCATGGCTATCAAAAACAAACATCCTCTCCACTGACTAAGGAGCTGAGAACGCATCAGAGAAACAAGAAGTCTGACAAACAAATTAACACCTCGGCCAACGCTGCAAGGCTTTCAATTATACTTTACAAGGAAAGTACTTACTTGTCAATGCAGATCTTCTCCACCTGAGGGACCAGTACCTGTAGCAGCCGCATGATGGTCTGCAGAGGAAGCTTTGACTTCCAAGACATCACCTGTGAGCAGCAAAGCCCACAGAGAAATCAGTGCACTGCATGAGTAGTTTTCCTAATGTACCTCCACTGTTTCTACAACAAATTATGTTTACAAAAATCCTAAAGGTGATGGATGAGCTGAGCATAAATCCTGGAGCAATAGAATTCAGAGCCGCTCAGTGAAACTACCAGGGTGTCAGTTTAACAGATAAAACAAAATACTTCTTTGCAGCTGATCACACACTTCTGAAGCTTTGATCAAAAGTTGAAGACCCTCCCAAAGAAATGTGTTACTCAGAGGAAGTCTTTGCTCTGGAAAAAGGGAAGGTAAATTAAAAAAACAAAAAACAAAAACAGAGAAGGAGAGAAGAGGTTTTTTTTGTGGGTGGAGCAGAAGTAATTTCTGTCACAACTCTTTCTTGTTATTTATTTCATCTGTTCAGATTTCCTTACCCAGTCAGGCGTTGGGGTCCACAGCCCACTGGAGGATGCACTGGAGAGACGCCTTCGATCCCGCTGGGGATGTGACACTTCCTATCAACAAATATTATTCAAAAAGATAACCAAGTCACACACTGGAGCAAGAAGTAGAACTCACTGTCTGCTGAACCAATTTTTCCAGAGCACTGCTGGACAAGACAAATCAGTCTGTCCCCAGAACAGATCAAACCCAAAAGAAAATATTTGCTTTGACGCAGTGAACTTCTCAGACCTCTGTACACTGAGGTACCCCTCTGCACTTCTCAGTGCCCTTCTTGGTACATTCTAAAGAGTGTTACTCCAAGGGTGGGCTCTCAGCAACTCCAAAACACAGCCTCTCAAGGAACAATGCTCTCATGCCCCAAAAAGGAACACCACTGAGTGACCTTCCAAAGGCTCTGGCCAAAAGTTCACAACTCATTAATGTTTTCTTCTCTCCATCATCCCAGTTTCATTTCTCTTGGATAAGAGACATCACTGCCACCTTGACTCTCAAGGTCAGCCAAGGAAACATCCCAATATTCATGATGGAACAGAATGAAAGCCCTTTAAAAATCACTATCAATCTCTGCACAATGTAAACACGGACAGGCTTTTCCCTTTGCTATACAGCTTGACCGTTCATTACCACCATCTGCACCTGACTTTTCTACTAAACAAACAGGATCAGCAAATCCTTCCAGCAGCTGCTCTACACCTCTACACCTCCACACTTGGCGTCACAAGGACGTCACTGCACACTCATTCACGTCACCTCTGCAGCCAGCAACAGCAGCTCTGGGGCAGAGCTGTGCTGCAATCCACTGGAAGCCAACAGCGCTCTGCAAGTGGGGAACAGTTCAAACCAGCTGCTGGACACGTAGTGACCCATGATTCTGTTTAAGAGGCTGCTGGAAGAAGAAAACCCTTCTCCTTCAAGTTCTCAGTAAAAACCTCCCTTAATGACAGCATTAACTGCACGCTTAAAGACATCTTGCTGACCAAGTAGCATCAGGGAAGGCCAAGAGGGATAACTAAAATGGATTCCAGGCTATTCAAGAATACTGTTCATTCCAGTTTATTCGAAGACTAGATGGCAATATTATTTTGCAGCGTCTGCAGACGAAGCCTTACTGTTTGGCTTCTGCACCCTGTCCCCATCAAGATTCTAAAGATAGAATTCATAAAAGCATAAAAACCTTTATCTCCTTCCGATCACTCTACCCTCTTCCTCTTTTCACATGTCTCCCACAGCCTTACCTCCATCCCAGCTGTCACCCAAAGGCTTACAGCCAGCTGATATATTTAGGAGAGGTGACATGGAATTACAATGAAATGTGAGGGCGCTTCAACATTTCACAAGAAACATTTGAAATGTTTATGGCTGATAAGGGAATTACATTGCAACAGATGAAAAAAGGAACTTAAGTCAGCCATAAAAATGAGGATCCTAAAATTCATTCCACGTCTCTTATTAGTTCATTTAACTCAGTAAGTTGGAGTCAGGATAGAACACAAAAAGACAACATTGTTCAGACAGTCCAAAACACCACAATCCCTTGAGATAGCTGCAGGCGACCAGAGGCGCCATTCAAGCAGCGATGTTTCTCCCAGCAGCACATCCCACACCCACTGCTTCACTGCCCTTCACCTCCCGTCTGCTTTATGGCACCACAGCAAACATTCAGACACACAAAGAGCAGTGCTGTAGTCAGGAAGGGCAACTATCCCTGGGACGACAGATCTGCACACACAGACACACAAGCAAACTCAGCAGGGAGGACCAGGACACAAAGGTGCTCCCCTAAAATGCCTAAATAGGCAGTGCCTGCCCTTACCCCACTCCAGGGCTCCCCATCGCTCGCAGCAGAGGGCAGGTTACCCTCTGGCAGAGGCTGTGAAGATTCAGGCTCCAGCGAACGCATGGTCCCATCCTCCGACACCTGTGACTTCTCTGTGAGCTTGTCAATCCCTGTGTTCAAAACACAAAAAGCTCAGAAGTGCAAGTGAGTTAAATATGCCTTTCTCTGCCCTACCAAGCACAGACACTCCATGCATCGGCTGTAATCTGAAATGCTCTCCTTTCAACAAGAGCAGCAAGATGCAGGCTTGATCTCATCGCCCCAGAGGAGCTCACCTGCCCCTGGGAAAATACTCCTTGATGCAACAGGGATATAAGTTCACATGAATACTGTTAAATTGAAGCAAGAAGTCAAAATTATGAGAAAAGGTCATGTAGACACTAAATCTGAGACAGCATTTTACTTTGACCTGCCCTCAGCTTGGATAAACCGACCTAAAACTGAGACTGAAAGGCAGTAAGTCATTCACAGACGTAAACTCTTAATCTCTTCCCACACCCAGTGAAAGGGTGAGTCCTCCGTACCTCACAGCGAAAACAAACTTTTCTCCTGTTACAAAGATAAACCAGTGCTGACCTGGAGTAGCCACCAAACTTGTCTTCAGTGTCCCCGGCTCAGCGGGGGCAGCAGGACGTGACCCCTCCATGGAGGCTCCGTCCTGGGAGTTGGTGCGAGAAATCGGCTCTGGGGATTTCTTCTTGCGCTGCAGACCTTTCTGGATGGACTGCGAGTCCGTGGGTAAGTTGGCCAGCTGGTGAAATACATTCCGCTTGCGGATAACAGCGTACACCAAATTAGAGTTCCCTGGGGATTACAGTCACAAAATGAGCAGAGAAACTCAAACAGCTCTGCCAACACAGCCCACCTCGCTGGCAACACGAAGCCTGGCTGTTGAGACCTAGCAAGCTCACAAAGGCAACGGCACAAGGAAGAAAGAGCAGAGTTCTGTAAACTTCTATCCATTATAAACCATAAGAATATCAAGTTAAATCTTGCCTAGGCTGGAAGGTTGACAAGAAACTGGTTAGAGAGCGATACTGAAACATGTGAGAAAGAAAATGACGCTTTAAGTCACATAATACCTGTTCTGGAGGAAAGGATTCAACATTTTCCACTTTCAATAAGAAGCTCACAAAGTGAGTCAGGGGAGGAGAAACAGGAGAGTCAGAAGGCCCCAAATCGCATAAGCTCTACAGTAGCTGAGAATGAAGCCATCATTCAAAATGCAGTATAAAATACAGTTACAAAGGCTGTTTCAGGATCTGGAATCCACCACTTGCCAGTGTTCCAGCAGGTAAGAAGAGTGACTCCTCCTGACATGTGGTTTTAAAACAAAACATCAAATTTGAGCAGGGAGAAGTAAGAGCTTCTAGGAGGCTCAGGGACCTCACTCTCATTTCCTGGAGCAAAACCAGTCATGCCTTTAGGGGGGAAAGGATAAGGCACTTCCTGGAGAGGCAGTAAGTGCTAGAATTTTCTTTGGATGGAACTGTTTGGCCTTCAGCTCCACAAGTCTGACAGAGCAGAACTGACAATACTGTCAAACACATAAGGAGATGAAAGTTGTTTTGCTCCCTCAACTACTTTGTTGAGCAACACGAGCAGTTTCACAGCAGCATCCAGCCAGTTAGTGTTAGAGCCTCATGCACTCCCTTCCCTTTCTCCTTCCCCTCTCTCCATCTCATTCTACGGACTGTTAAGGCTGAGGTTATGCTGACAAATTGCTGCCACCTCATTTTGCCCTGCCCCAGCCCTGGTTACCTACTAACCCAACTTCTTGATCCCAGACAAGTCTCCATGTGGTTGGTTGCTACGTTTCTTCCCCATTCTCGTTAATTTGGACTTTTTCTGAATTTGCATATAATGTTCTCTTGGACTAAAGTAGCGTAAACCCACTGAATATAGAAGTTTCTTACCATCAAATTGGTACTGAATTATGTTGTTGAAAACTTCCAGCAGGAAGAAAACAAGATGGTGGTTCTGGACAGCAGAGAACAAGAACCAGGTGGTGGAGAAAGCCTCCAGGAGATGCAGTAACTTGTTAGCAGCCACCATGGAAAGGGACTTCAGGTACGGAGACACTATGGAAGGCAAACATGAAAATTAGAGACAGAATCAGGGACCCACACAAAAACACCATTTAAAACATCACTTCTGCCATCTCCTCAACCTGCACTTCTGGGAAAGCTTCATGAAATGGCTGAGCCTAACAGGGTTCTACAGAAACGTTTCCAAAAATAAAAGACTCTAAACAGCTATATGGACTAACAAAAGAAAATGTTTCTGCCTTCAGAATTTCTCGTGGGGTTTTACACCAGTAATACATCAGGGCTTACATCCCTTCTGAAAATCTTACACAGAGCCACCTGAACATCTGTAAAATCCAAGGGAAGGCAGCGTCACTGTGGGGATGTGGCACTCCCTGCTGGAGAAGAGCAGCACTGCCAACGCTGTCAGCGGGCTGATAGGAAAATGCCTCTGTCACCCCCGAGTGGCTCCAGGAACCCTGCTGTCATCCTGCCCCACCTGACAGAGCCCAGGCAATAAACCTGAAGACAGGTCTGATCTGCAGCTGGCACATCTAGCACGGGATAGAAAGGTCAGCTTCCACCAGTGGTCACCAACACTGGTGAACGTTGACTGGCACAGGTAGGAATGCAGGCAGACAGAGCAAGAGCAGCTGACCCTTCTATGGGTTGCTACTCCATGCAGTAGTGCTTACCGTTCACAATGATGGTGAGCAGGCAGTCAAAGAGAGGCTGCAGACGCTGATGCCCACTAGTTATGATCTTGTGAAAGACCTACAAGCAGGGAAAAGAATTCTTGAGCAAGGCAGAACCTTACTGAAAGCACCCTCTCAACCAAAACCAATGCCACCCCCACACTAATCGCTTCCTGACACCATTCCTTCCTAGGCAGGGCCTTGCATACTCCACAATTACACAGGTGGAGAAGGCTGCTCTCACTGCGGACTCGTGCTCCAAGAGCACAAGCTTTTATTTACAAGGAATCCTTTGGGGATATGATTACTGTTCCACAATACTGCAAACAGAAACTGACTGAGCTGTTCCAAAATGCAGCCAGCCCAGGACAACAGTAAGTTACCAGGAAGTGAGAACTATTTTCACCTCCAGTGGATTTTTGGCTCTGAACCTGAATGACAGCTGCTTGACATACCAAGGAGCTAATGACCATGTCTGATCTTAGTGCAAACTTCCAACTCCAGTGTTTGTTCTATATTTCTTAACTACACGCTTAGAGGCATGGAAATATTCAGCTGCCCCACAACCCAGTCCAGACATTTCCACTTTTGGCCTTCCCACCTCTAGCAGGCACACATACAGAGTACACAGCATAATGAAAACACAGATGATCTAAAACTAGTGAAATGTAATAGCAAAACATGTAGCATTGAGAACAGTTCTGGTAGGTGGATTCTTCCTCCTCCCTCTAGTGGTAATCTCCTTTAGAAAGTTTAATCAAAAGCTGCTGAGAAATTCCTCCCTGACAAATAAGCACCAACATACCAGAAGAACACTGCACAAGACCAGTACTGCAAAATGCACAGCTGTGTGTTGGCAGTACTGGGGCCCTCATCACTACCGACTGCAAGATGAATGAAACCCAAAGCTGTGGGCTGAGCTTGGTAAGGACATTGTTGTCCTCATTCTGTCAAACGCGCTCCATGCAACTGCGGTTACTTGGGACGGAGCCAGCAACACAGTCAGATTTCCTGCCTTCAACTCTGCTAGAGATCATCCATCCACCCCACTGCACCAGACTCAGAGTCCTTTAAACACCAGTTCAGCTCCATCCCAGACCTCGCTCTTTGAGATCTGCACGACACGTGCCCCCTCCTGACACATCACCTCAGCTTAACAGAGGATGATGAACCACCAGTGTTTGCATACACCCCACACGCTTTCTAGCTCAGTGGAAGAGTAACCTATGAAGGATCGGTAACAAGGATAAAGATGGAAAGAAAAGAGCTCCTAGAGCTATACTCACTATGATGAGCAGATCCGCATGAGTCCCTGTGAAGACAGGGATGTCCATAGGCACTCGTACAGAATACGGCTTGTTCAGTCGCACCCCAAAGTTACGCTCCCCACTGAGAAGCAGGAGGATAAACACCCCGATGTGCATCAACCCCACTCGTGCTGCAGAAAAACAGAACAAACAAACATGAAAAACAAAACCAAAAAACCATCACACTGGTGCCAAAGGACTGCTGAAAACAGGAGGGCAGCGAGGAGCAAGGAGAAACACAACGGGACTGAAAGAGAAACCAGACACCAGAGTATCTTCATAAGGAACATCCCACACACAGCTCCTTCAGTTGCCAGTACCCATGTCTGCCTCACGCCTGTATGGAGCCAGTACAACACAAAGCCTCAGGTAGATTATGCTCCTTGTTATGTTCTTGATGTAAATTACTGTAGCAGGAAATATCTGACTTCTTCTGGCAATCCAGCATGGTGTTATGACTAATTTAAATCAAAGGCAAGAGAAAATTGCTCATTTTTTCCTCCTCTTCTTAGGATCAGGGAGGCAGCTTTTGACATAGGAACTCAAAAAGCATTAGCACATGCTAAGGATGTCCCTTCCATGAGCTGTGCTATAGACATGCCCTGATTTCAGGCCCATTACAAACACACATCTAACTGAACTACTCCCCCTCGTGCTTGCAGAAGGCATGTAACATGCCCTCAAGCAGCAATCTCAGTGGTAGACAGGAAGCATCTTAAAAATATTTTAGCTCAACTGATAGGCACAGATCATCCCAAATAATGAAAATAACCAACTTACACTGGTCTGCTCTGGCATCATTGAGAAAATACAAGATTGGGACAAGGATATCCAGAACATCACTGCTCTTCAGCACAAAGAAGAGGAATTTCTGGGAAGAAAAGATTTCAGGCAACCTTAAGAACATCTGGTTTTATCCACCATCCAGAGGGCTCAGGCCAGGTAGCATCAAGCTAGCCAGTCTCTGACTCACATCATAAAGGCTGAGATATGCACTACACTTTATCTCCATTATCTGTAGTTATTTTAATAATTGCTCCTGCACTTGGCTTCAAGCAGTGACCTTCAGAGCTGCAGCTCCTCTCACCAGCTCTCCCTGGAGCCCAGCCCACCAGCCCCAGCCCACCACAGAAGCAGTGCTGCTGGCAGGAGGATCACAGTCAGTGCTCGCTACCTGCCCTGGGACCTCCTGCCACAGCTCCGTCCAGCCAGAGCCGCACCAGGCTCTGGGGATCAAGCAAGGAGGGATAAAGCTCAACAAGCAGCTCCATACCTTGTTGAAGTCACAGAGTTTCCAGAAGAGAACAAGAAGTTCCTGATGGAATTGGATCTTCTTGGCAGAGTTTGGCAGGTAGGTCTGGACCAGCGGGTTTGATAACAAACGCGCCACTCCTTTCAGGATGAACTGGAAATCCTGCCAACAGACCAGGAAAGAGACTGCAGTGGGCCTGGGGCCAGCTGTGCCAGCACGAAGTCAGACAGGAAGCAGTTCAGGACTGGAGCACCTTACCTCCTCTCGATGTATTCTTGAGAGGTAATTCACAAATAGATTGTCTGGTCCTGGAGGCTGCGTTCAAAGACAATGAATGAAATGCTTATGGAATTGCAAGATTTAGTCAGGGGCCAAGTGTAACCAGTGGCCCTAGGGGCTCACATCCCTCATTTAAGCTTTGCTCTCTGAATGATCCGGTTCTAAACGCTAGGAGACAGAGTACTTCCAGAATCAGTAAACTCAGGGAATTTTTACTTAAATGTTCCTGATTCAAGTCAGTGACCAAAACCTTCTGGTTTGGTCGCCCATTGTCGATAAGTGTCCTACAGGAAAGGAAGAGAACTGGACCAGAGACAGCAGTCTAAGGAAAGGAACATTGCTATGCCCCACAGATTATCCCTGCATTCAGTAAAGGCTGGTATAAGAGGGTCACAGCATTCAGGAAAGTAGCAAATACCAAGGGTCACTTACATCCACATCATCCATGGCCGTGCCAGTAGTTGTGCCATCCACTGTAGGACTTGAACTGGTGGAGCTGTCGTAGTCCAAAGTGACAATCAGGACCTGGGCTGCCTCCTCCACCAGGGGCTCACGGTAGTCAGAGAAAAGCAGATGATTGTAAGGAATCCCATAACCCACCGGATCGTAGGCACAGACGACATTCAGGAGTGAGGTGAAGAGGGGGAGTGCATGTCTGGGCAGGAGAAAACATTCTCAGAAGGCAGAAGCAGGAAGCAAATGGTGCTGCCTTGGGGAGAGACAGGCATCCCTCCCCAAGATTTTGGGATCATAACAAAAGACGAGCACGTTCTCTATCCTCCCAATTCTAATCTATGGCAGTGACCAGTGATTGAGCAGCACAGGAACAAGAGCTGACACTCATCTCCCACTGGTTATCTGGACTAGAGCTAAAAAGAAAAGGAGGTTAAAAAAAAAGACCACGTGGCCTCCCAGAGAAATCCCATGCAACAATATGAAAAGAGAGACAGGATCTTAAAGCTCTCCATACTCATGAAGACCAAACTGTGCGGCCCCTGATGGGCACCTGAAAGTCCCAGAGGAGACGATGTCACCAGAGGGCAGCATTCACCTGCCACCACCACCACAGCGACTCAGTGAAGTGCCACACCACCATTCCCACCAGGGAACAGGATCTACAACAGGGGAATGCATCTGCCTGTCCCACATGACAAGGACCACTCCCACATCAAATTTCAGCAATCACCTCGCTCAGTTTTGCCCTTTGCTGGTGAGGAAGGTTTATCACTAAGCAGAGATGCTAATGGAGATGTGAGGAGGACATGCTACCTCCAATAGCTAGGGGCTGTTGTCCAAGTCCTACGGCCACCCATTAACAATGTACTCCTTTGGAAACATTTCAGTCTATTTCTCCTTCTAGCACTCAGCTTTACACCCTCACCTGTTCTCAGTAGAGCAGAAAAACTGCACCCAGGGGTTGGTGTTGCTGCTGTCTGAAGATGGAGGCAGATACATTGCCTCAGAGAAGCAAGTCAGCAGCAGCTTAAGCAGCTCTGTCCTGAAAGAAGGGAAGAAGAGGCCAAGTCCTGGACTGAAGCTCAGGAGGTACAATCACCACAGCAACATATAAGAAAAGCTCAGTCCCATCTAAGAAGTACTTCCTATAGAAAGCTGAGTCCATTTCATCAGCAGCATTTCATTCATAAGCACCAATCATTCTGACCGTTTCTGTCACAGACACTTCAACTCCCCATCATACAACAAAAAGCTACTCAAAACACAACCAGTTTTCTCTTTGCTGCCTGAGATGATGGATTGGAAAGGGGCAAGGGCCCCGCAGAAGTCACAAGTGCCTCAGGAAGCAAGGAGAGCCCATCTCCACAGACATCCCCAATCTCCTGACCCAGCATCTCTCCATTCCATTTGCAAACCCTCTTACCTATTCAAGTCATGAATGTAGTTAGGCTGTGGAGAGTGAGCGAAGCCCACTCCTGCCTCCCAGATGTACTCACAGCTGTCAATGGAGTGGATATCTTCTGCTGTGTCCTACAGAGAGAAACAGGAGGTCAGAGCACAGGCAAGTGCAAGAGTTGACAGTGGTTACAGATATCCAAGGCAGTTCAGCTCCATGTCAACAAGAGGAGAAAACCAGCAGAGATGCCGAAGTTGCACGCACCAGCCTCACTCAGACAGCACCTACCCAGGCACTGGACACCACGCAGAACAAGGTTTTTGCTCCAGCATGCCAAGGCACAGTGCTAACCACTAGAAATTGGCACCCAGCACCAAAAGATCCAGGATATGTTTTGTTCTAATTATGGGATATATCGCCACCTCCTCTCTTTTCCTCCACATCTCGTGAAACACAGCGCAGGTCAGGGTTTTCCCTTTGCATATCAAGAGCATCACATGGAGATACAGTACCCACTCAACACCTCCACCTTATCTCAGAAGGCATCATACTGATTTTACACATATAACATGGTGCAAAGGCAAGAGAAGCAGCAAATTACCTCCAACTTATACTAAAAGTGCATGATGCTGTGACTTGCTTCTCTAGTGGGTAAAACAAGAAGATAACTGCAAGTATGTTCCCTCTTCCAGTCAGAACCCTCACAGCCCCTTGCCAGATACCAGCACGACTCCCAAACTCATGCTTTGCAGCCTGAGGAGGCAAACCACAGCAGCCTGTCCTTCTCTGTCATGGCCAGTTGAGCTTAGGTTGAAGCAGCCTTGTGGAGACAAGAAGCCATTGCAAACCACACGCTGACCCTCAAGAAATGACTGGAAGCAAGGGCCCAGATGAATATAATATATTTGCATCTTTACTTAAGTTTAATTAAGCAAATTCTGCCACCAACCTTTTTTCCTCCCTGTAGCTGGGGAAAGCAGACCAGAGGACAGTTTTTAATTGCTCTGAATTCCTGCTGCATAACTTTCTTCCCTCCCACAGTGGTAATGACCTCACTGAGGGCAACCAAAATGCGCTTAGCACGCCAGCCACAACTCCCACAAAACCAGTATGCTGACAGCAACTACTGCTAACACAGAACCAACTGCAGCCTCCTTGACAGTCCTTGCTTTTCCTGCCTCTCTACTCAGCTCCTACACAGGTTGGAGCTCACCCACCATCAGGTTCCTCATCCAGCTCCTCAGAACAACTCTTAGTAAGACTGAAGCACCTAAGATCTCCCTCCACAATCAAACTGACAGTGAGAGGAACAAGATGCTAAAGGTCCCCACTCTACTGGAAACAATAGGAGACCAGATGTTTGCCAGCATGACCACATTTTCCTGACAGGCAAGCTGTAGTGCAGGGAAAAACACTAGTCTCCCCAGCTGACATTCACCCAGCTATCCCAGAACACCCGTTTTTGGAGACACAGACACCACCCGCTGAACGCTAAATGCTGATCAGTGTCAGTCACCTTGCGTTCAGGCTCAGTGACTCCATGTTTTCCTGCCTGAAGATTTGTAAGGAAGCTGCTGGGGTCTTCCAGAGTCCCCGTCACGCAGCTAATCTATCTCTGTGCAGATAACCTCATGATTCAACTCACCACCGTGCTTCTCCGGTGGCTTTGCACAGTGAAATCGGGACAGAAGAGCAAATCTGCAACAGCAAGGAGCAATGACTCAGCCAGCGGCCGGGCATTTTCATCATCTTCATCTCCCTAAATGTGAGAATGGTAAAAGAGTATTGTTAGCACAGGCTTAGCAAAGATCACACATTAACACTATTAAACAGTAAGAGAAGATGCACTCTCCGTGAATACACAATAAGTTACAGAGGAACTAGAGGGAGAAACATGAAAACCCACTCAGGAGAGGCAAGAAATTCCCCCCTGGAGAGTGATGCCTATATAGGAACAAGGTCTTTAACGTGACCAAACAGTGGATAAGGTACTCCAGCCTACAGCTCTTAAGGAAATAGAACAGCAGCACTGCACACTGCCACGTGGAGACCATTGCTTACGGAGGAGGAAAGAAAGGAATCACTACAGAGAACAGTGTTTTACAGGAAATGAAGAAGGCAATTTGCACAGTGCACAGAGACAGCAATAGGAGGAAGGCAGGCAGCAGTGTTAACAGTGTAAAACCGCTCAAAGTCCTGCATGGGCTGCCCAGAACTGGAAGCCACAGAAGGAGAGGTGGTGCGCAGCTCAGCAAGGAGCCACCTCAGCCTGCCATGGCAGAGCAAGCACGACAGCAGAGGGATTTTGTTGTCTCCAGCATTCAAAGCAATTACTTCAATCATGAATGGCTACTTCTCTGCAACCATTGCCACAGGAAACCCTGCCAGATCCTGCCTGTCAAAGAGCATCCTGGCTAGCACACCTTTTCACCACACAGGTGCTGCAGGGAAAGACAGGGAGTGGGAATGGCAGGAGCTCATCCATCTCTGCCAGCCTGCACATGGCACACAGCGCTGCAGTCACAGCAGGCAGCTACCCAAGATAACAGTCTTGTGACTCTGACGTCTGCCTCAGCAACTGCAGGGAAGACACCGTCAGACAGATCCCGGATGTAAGAAGCCCAGAGAGGACAGATGAAGCCATCAGGCAGCAAAGATGCTTCTGCCAAGGCTAGAGTTAAGGTCCTAGGGGACTTCTCAATCAAGAATGATCTTTGCTAACAAAGTCTCAGCTGCCAGAAAAAGTCCCCACAGGCTCTATGAACCACAGCATCCAAAAAATGGGAGACACAGGAGCCAATAGTTCTCAAAACAACAGGGAAGGCACACAGTCTTCCAGCAATCTCTTGAAAGATTTGTGTCTTTTTAAAAAAAAACTGTCACACATCCTGATCCTAAGCACAACATAACCCTAACAGTCCCGCTCTAATCCCAGCAACCTGCTTAAAATCACAGAATCACCAAGTTTGGAAAAGACCTGTAAGATGATCCAGTCTACCTACCACCAAAATTCCCCCACTCAACCATGTCCCTCAGTACAACATCTCAACGTTTCTTGAATGTTCTCGAACCCTCCAGGGATGGTGACTCCCCCACTCCCTGGGCAGCCCATTCCAGCACCTGAGCACTCCCTCACAGAAGTATTTCCTAACGTCCAACCTGAACCTGGCACAACGTGAGGCCGTTCCCTCCAGTCCTACCGCTGCTACACGGGAGAAGAGGCTGAATCCCACCTCACCACAACCTCCCTGCAGGCACTTGTACAGTGCGATAAGGTCACCTCTGAACCTCCTCCTCTTCACACTAAACGACCCCAGCTCCCTCAGCCACTGCTCATAATGCCCGTGCTCCCGACCCTTTCTGGACTGCATCCACCCACACCCATCCCTCAGCCTTTACAGGAGGGTCCCGTGCTCCAGGACCTGTGCAACTCATCACTGCATCATGTGGCAGGCTAAGGATAACCACAGAGATACGTACTAACTGTTTGAGCATATCATCATCCTCTTCAGTTCCAAGGCAGAAATCAGCTTTCAGTCAGCAAAGCAGCTGATTAGACATGACCTCACCCTTCCCATGTTCTTGGGGCTTTATTCATCATCCCTTGCCAGCAAGCTCAGCTGCTTCCTCCTGACACTCAGCCTGTAGGAACAGCAGCTTCCAGCAGGGGAGGTAAGAGCTTTATTAGTTTGCTTCAAACTAAAGGTCGAGCTCACTGTAGTACACGTTTCTCGCAGGCCTATATGCAGGGAATATGGGGAGAGAGATTTTATTTTGCTGAGATGCAGTAAGGGAAGAGTGGTCCCAACATGCTCCAGGTTGGAAAGGGCTTAACAGCACCCAGTGTGCGCCCGCAAAGCTACCTGGCAGGGCCCAGAGAACAGGGAAGTGCAGAGAGACTCAAGGGAATTCCTTCACAAAAGCAAGCTCTTTACAGCTAAAGAGTCTAAAGGCAACTATATCAGAAAACAAAACACTCCTCTCCCCAGTAACAGCAGTGAGAGAAGAGGTAGTGGCCTTAAGTTGCACCAAGGGAGGTTCAGGTTGGATATTAGGAAAAATTTCTTCTCAGAAAGAGCAGTGATGCAGTGGCACAGCTGCTGCGAGGAGGGGGGTCACCACTGCTGAGCGGTGCTCAGAACCATGGAGATGTGGCACTGAGGGACACGGCCAGTGGATGTGGTGGGGATGGGCTGACAGTTGGACTAGGTGATCTTAAAGGTCTTTTCCAACCTTAATGATTCTGAATGAGACTGAATGATGGGACAATGTGAACCGCAACAGCTCCTCTGGCATCCAGCAGGCATGATGCATCAGGAGGGCTGCACTGGGCTGGATCAACTTGGGGTGACCTCACTGCTCTCAGGCAGAGGAACTCTCTCCTCCAGCTGCTGAACAAGGTGGAAGAGCAGTTGTAACAGGCAGCCTTGCTGGCTCAGGGCATCAGACAGGTGCTTCTTCCCAAAGCAGCAGGATCTAGCAACTCCACAGTCAATACTCTCCAGCACTCTCAGCCTCTGCAGGGATCAAAGGTGGACAATCACCCTCCCAATCACACAGATCACACAGCAGTGCTGTTAGCAAAAGCTTTCTTTTCCCCTTGAAGTGGCCTCGGGCAAAACAGATTAGAGGTAACAGGCAGAGATAGCACCAGGTTTGTACTGTACCAACCACTGCTGATTTCCTATAAACCTCCTCCAAAACACTGCAGTACACGTAACATTCAGGGGAAAACACGTATTTCAGCACAGTCACGCTGACCTGCAGATTCAGAAACTTCCAGGAAAGCACTCTTCATGCATAAAACAGTAGCTGCCAAGAGAGAAAGCAGGTAAACATGTATTTCTAGCCTACCTCAGCTATGCTTTCAACGGTATTCCTCTTACTTGCAGAACATGCTAAAGCATTTTATCCTGATCCTTTTCACACTGATTTCAATTCACACTTTCCATGCTGGAAAAGCCATCCCTCACATACCAGCTCTCTCCTACACACCCAAGTGAAATCTTCAGATGACACAGCAACCTGTGCTGAGCAGAGCAGCTGAGAGGGGAAGAATACCAAGAACCAAAGAAAAGAAACTGACTTAGAAGATGCCACCTAGTTTCTGCATAAACAGAAATAACAACCAGTGCAGCTGTCCTCAAATGCTCCCTTGCTTCCTCCCGCTCACCCTCCAGAAAGGAGAATAAGTGCCAAGAGACAGACCCCTCCTCGGCCAGCCCCAGGGACAGTTGACCAGAAGAAACCTCTCCAGTCTGGGTCCTCAAAGATGTAAGGCAGGATACGAGTGAGGAGCCGGCTGCAGTTCAAGACGATTTGTCTCTCCTTCTCTGTGTGGCAGCCGCTCTCTGCTCCCTGCACCAACTTCTCCACAGCCTGCAGGAAACAAAAGGCAGGTAGCATTAGCATCGACATGAGCAGAACCACACAGCTCTGACCTGCTGGTGACACCTTCACACAGATTTATAAGCACTGCTTGGAATCCATTTTCCCTGAGTTCAATAATACAGCCTCCATTGCTGTTTGAAACACTGGGGTAAACAATCTTAGCCAGACTTTCTTCAATTTCTTCTGTTCCAGCACAAGAGATCTGACATGTTAGGGTAACCCACACAGCACATGCTGCACGGATAGAGAACCACAGCACCTGTGGGCTCCCTCCAGCCCTGGAAGCAGAAATAGTAGTAAGGGTTCACCATGCAGCTTTTTAATTCCCGGGGTCGTATTCTCCACTTAGTTTCATAGCAGACTGTCTGAGTCACTGACTCTGCTAACTTGCGTCACTGCCTTAGTGGGCACGTAAATGCTGTCTGTACACTCAGCCCATCCACGCACAACTCCATGACTGCGCGTAAATATTTTTCCAGGCACATTTATGACCCTGCACAGCAGGGATGTAGGCTGAGTCTCCAGCCATGACGGCAGATGGCATCTCAGCCATGCTGCTCTGCTCTCACAAACACACAGGGCTGCTAGGTCCAATGTCACACCATGCTTGGCAAAGGTCAGGGCCTGCAGACCAGCAAAAGTCTGCAGGCTGCTCTGACCACGACATCTTACAATCTACAGCTCCCAGATATGCAGTGCTGCAGTGATCAGGTCTCCCAACACAACCAATTCCATCAGGGAGAACAGCCCACATTTTAGCCTCACTTTTTGTAGAAAGAAGACACAGACCCAAAGGAATTACTGGTCAGTTTAGATCGCCCCAACTCTTCTTAACTCAGAAGCTGCTGCTTGTCAGAAGCTAGGAGACAGCACAGGGCAAGAATTGTGGTAAACTGAGAGGCAAGACAGAGTTATCACTGGGGGCAGACAGGAACAAGCAAGTGCAGTATGTAGTGCAAGGAGACAATAGGGCACCAATCCCCTCTGGGAGCCACAGGACTCAGTGAAGGGACACCTCCTTCCAGCACAGCACTGAGGATAATGCCATCCTTACCTTATAACACAGAGTCGCCAAGTTGGAAGGCGATTCCTCTCTCACTGCTCGGATCTCTGCAGCTGGCACAAGGGCAAAGACATCCTGCACTGAAGTGGCTGTGTCTGCCCAGAACTGGTCCCAGAAGGCATCATCTGTTGCCTCCACAGGCTGTGGAGAGACAGACAAAGCTACAGAGGCAGAACCACCATCCCATGAGTTCCAAACCTCAGTGCAACTGGATCAGGGATGTGACCATCGCCGCAGAAAACAGAACAGGACAAATAAAACAGCATCACTGATTTATATTCCAGATTTTTTAGTTACCAGAGCCAAGGCTTCTGCGACCTCCCAAAGAGACCATTCCCTCAGCACTGGGGATGACAAGCAAGACATTTATGTGACCATGCGCATCAGACTTGGACACTCCATGTCTTCCACAATCACAACACATGCAAGGCCTCAGCTTGGCTGCAAGCCGGGGCACATGTGCACAGTTCTTGATTAACACACATGGTCTGGGCTGCTGTCGCGTGCAACACACACAACAGAATTACTTCTGCTGTAACCAAAGCCTTGGGGAAGCCGTTGGGGATGTCCCATGTTAGGGCACAAACACAAAGAACTGACAGACCCACCTGAAAACACTCAATAGTGCAACTGAGTTGATCTTCCTGAACCAAACATTTACTGGTAATTGGACTCAGGGCAGCCAGCGTCAGCCACAGTCTTACCCTTAAAATGCCCTAATCGTGCAGTCGAAGTGGAAGGAGGAGGCCAAGACAAGCAATCCAAATAGCGTCACATCCATGGACTAAGTCTGTCCTCTCATAGCTGGGAGCAGCCCTTGCTCCATGATCCAGCCTCTGCCCCACAGCAGCTCTGCAGCAAAGAGCAGCTCTTGTAGGTGATGATAATCAGCACTGTGCTGGGTCTATCACATCGGATGGAAGAGGGGTAAAACCACAAATGCATGTTTAACTTGAATTATTCCCAGCTCCACATAGTAGGCAGAAAGCATGTCTGCTTCTGAGCTGCGGTTCTTAACGCAGCCAAGATGCCACGCTGGAGAGAACAGCTCATTCACAGCTCTGATGCTGAGAAGCATTGCGTTTCTCCCCTGTATCTGAATGAGAAGAGACGGCATCACCTGAACCCACAGAAGGTGATGCGTCACCACCACCGGAGGGCAGCAAACGAGAGGAGCCAGCAGGCGGCTGCCAGACTGGTGCAGCAGGTTACTGCCCTCAGGCTCTCCTCCTACGTGCTCCTGTACCCGAGAGGCTCATGGCTCATCCCACTCCTTTCTGCCATGCAATGAATCAGCCTGAGCCACTCTCCACTCAAAACCAAATCCACAAGTTAAAGCATCTTCTCAAACACTGTTCTGATGCTGAAATCCACTTTATTTTATTACCTGGCCAATAAACCAAATTCCCACCAAGCCCCTTTTCAAGAAAGAAACTTTTTCTAAGGGATCCAAGACAACTGATCCTCAGAGGGATCTGCAGGACAGCCAAGTGCCTCCAGCCGACTTTCAGCAGAACTCAACTTCCTAAGCAAGCAAGAGAGCTGCACTACCTTGCAATCTGTGCTCAAAACGCCTAAATGGAGAGAGGAGAAAAGCTATTTGCAAGTCAGATCTCTAATTACGCTCCTCAAAAAGAGTCAGGTATTTGGAAACACGATCTGTATAACGCAGGAAACATCCTCCACTCCCTACATCCCCTTCCAAACCGGGCACCACAATCGCAGGGCTAATTGCCATGTGCACCTACTGGCTGCTTGCCACAGCCACTCCCACCGACAGCAGGGAGCAGCAATTGCTGCTAACAGAAGATCATGCATAAATAATGGCTTCACCCTCATCTAGAGGGGAAGAAGAAAACCATTTCCCTCCAATGTACACAGAACCATTCTCTGACCGTAGCTTCCTTGGAGGCTGAACACAGCACCACTCTACAGCTGGTAGCATGACAGCTAAGATGGATTAAACAACTCTGTCTCCAACGAGAATTACATGGAGATCGAGCAGCAATCACCCGAGCCGCAGTGCTGGATGCTGCAGCAGCAATGCCTGCCATCTTGGCAAGCAGGTTACGCTAAAACACCGTTTCGTTGCTTTTTAATAGCTGCATTAAGTCATCTCCCCATCCAACAGATGGCATCCCATGTACAATCCTAGGATTCAGTACTGACTCACCCGCAGCCCTGCAGCCCCCCCAGTCTAATTAACCGTCTGGCATCATAAAGCTGCTTGATGCACGTAATATTCATCTCCTCAAAAGAACACGGGTGGACGTTTTAAAGCCGACTGTATTCTGCGTACAGCATTTCCAGAGATCTAAACATCCATCTCCTCGTGCTGAGCTCACCCAACAGCCTGCGCCCAGCACGCAGAAAAGGGAAGTACAGCGACCTGGAACAGCCTCATTCGCTGATCACCTGCTGCTTGAACCACGTCTGCACCAAAGGAAAGAACTGACTGCAGCACTGACTGCTGCTGTGAGCACAGCAGGCAGCATTAAGTGGATGTGATGTCTTACAGTGGACAAGGGAGATTTTTATGTTTGCCTTCAGTTCACCTCGACAAGGCTTAAAGTCCTCCCGCTTGCACGCTGGCTACACAAAGGCAGAATCAGTCCTGCCAACACTTCCAGACTTCCCCAACAGTTATAAACCGGGGGTTTTGGATGCTTTAAAACGCGCCATCCACACATACTGCAACAATCAGAAAAGGAAGCCGAGTGAATTACAAGCATTTTGCCAGATACTGACCAGCCCTGAACAAGCAATCCTAAGCAAACAGGATACATCATGGGAAGAAAGATCACAGCGCAGTGCTGACCACTTCCTATAAACAGGAAAAGGCCCAAAGCACCGCCTCCCCTGCTTGTTACTGTCCTCAGCCCAAAGCTGTTATCACCTCCACTTTCACATACAACTCCTCACTTTTCACACAACCCCTCACAAGCTCAGGCAGAGTGAGCATTTGCACCCTCCTCCCACCCAGGCGTTCTCTGCACTACCCCTGGACACCCAACACCTTCTTATCCAGCACCCATTCCCAACTGCCCCTATTGGAGGACCGTCCTCCAGTCCTCACTTCTTGCCACCATGCTGACCAGCCCAGACCTCGAGGCACGTGGGGCAGGGACTACCATTCTTCTGGGACTCGAAGCCCTAATTTCTGACCAGGCTTTTCCAGACAGGACTGTACAAACTCGGGCAGTAACAGCAGCGTGCTCCTTTCCACTCAAATGCGGCAGAATTTAGGGCGCAGCACCAGACTGAGCCCTAGGAGATCAGGCAGCCCTGCAGGGAGCGTGAGGCAGCGCAGGTACCTCTGACCACCTGCTTGTGAGCCACTGTGAAAAGCAAAGCCCGAGGTCAGATTTATTCAAAATGTTAATAAGTAGCAGGATTTCATTCTTGCTGCCAAGGACAGCAGCTCCACACTGCTCTCAGTGCAGAGTGATTTTTTTTTTTCCATAGGATATTTGCGCCAGCAGGGCAGAAATCGAGGAGAGATCCCAAACAAGTCTTTTGCCAGGCTTCTGCTCACAGCAAAGGAAAATGTGATTTGTGGAGTCCTGGCATTGAAAGCTTAAGAGTCAGATATAGTTTTGGTTGTAAAACAATAACGTCACTTTTCGTCAACCCAGAAGACTTACATATTTGAATACATTCAGAAATAGGCTACTCAGAAATTAATCTCTAAGCATAATATTTACTTCTATCAGGCTCAAATTAACAGCACGTCATAATATTGCATTTGTGCATCAAGGAGAAAGAAAGAAATCATTTAATCCCCAACTAACTGGGAAAAGCGAGCACGTTTCCCTCAGCTTCAGCTCCATGCCCACCCCCCACAGCCCACACGTCCCTTCACCTGCCACGCAGGCAGCACTACTGGGGGTGAAGGAGAGCCCACACATCCCAAATGACAGGGCACACCTGTTTTACTGTGAAACTGATTGGGAATACTCTCATAGAAGTGGGCAACATACAGAAATACAGGCATCACGTAAGAAAGCCATAAAACCCTTTTTCTGCCTGTGACCACTATCATACATTTGTAGCATAAACAAATACCTTTCCTCTGGTACCTTTTTCATCACTGACATTGCTCCGAAATCGCTCTGAAGTGATTTTTCTTTTTTAGTATTTTTACATCTTCAGAGTTTCTCTTTGGCAACTGAAAATCAGTTCCACCTTTTTTGCCCACCCTTGGCTTGACTTTCAAGATCCAGGCTGCACATGTGCTACAAGCACTGAAGCATTACATTACTGACAATTTTGTTTGTTGCTTTTTGTTTTTTTTTAACGTTCACGTGGAACACTCATTTTAATCAATGAAAACTTATAGATTCAAGAAAAATTAATTATGCCAACTCCAAACTTTCACCAGCAAGCAAAACTGTGTTCTGCTGCACCACTTCCTCCCCTCAAAAGCCTTCCCAAACGTGGCACAGCACGTTACTTAGCTCCTGGTTTCATTTTACCCAAGATCTGACAAAAATCTGTTTGTCCAGTTACCCAATGAAAGACTTAAAAAACAAAACAAACAGACGTTGCCGAGAAAGCAAAGTGCCTTTTAAGTTAATAGTCCCGAAGCGGGGATTTGACTCCGTCCATCACTGCCGCTCGAATCCAGGTCCCCGCGCACCAGGCGGCTGCACGCCCGGCCGCGCACACCGGCCATGCGAACAACGGTGCCCTTCTGCGCTGTGTAAACATGGGAGCGCCAACAAACACCCCGCCTTTTTTCCACATGGCGCTCAGGCTCACGTAGACACAAAGACGCGAAATGAATCCGGACCAGAACGACACCGCTTCTCTTCCCTTTACCCAGGGCCCCTCAGAACCTTCCTTCGCGCACACGTCAACAAATGGGGGAGGGGAGCTCTGCCCTCGGCTGGCACCAGGAGGCACCGCCTCGCCATGGCTGCGCTCCGCGGGCAGCAGGTGCGACGATCCCGCCGGTGAGCGCAGGCGCCGAGCAGCCGGCTTCCATCCGCCTCCCCCGGCCTCCTCGGTAAGCGCGTCCCCCGTAACAGAACGGCCCCGCAGATCCGACGGCACCCCGAAGCATTCTGGCAACCAAAAAAGACTTGGAAGAATTCCTTCAGGTTAATTCACCCGCTTCTCCGATTCCGTGGCGTCTGCTCGGAAAAACCTGCCGTGACGCTCCCACAAACCCCCGTCCCGCAGACGCAAGCGGCGAACGCAGCTTTACAGCGCGAAGCCTCTTCCAACCCTACCTTCTACCAGCCGCCCCGGCCCTCACTCCGACTTCTCGCAGACCCCCTCCCCTCGCCCTTCCTCTCTTTCTGCCCACACCCCGTTCTGACGTTATTCCCCACCGTTGCCCCTACCTCCTCCACATCTCCGCCTTCGCACGGCTGCGGTTACGGCCCCTCGCCCGGAGGCGGCTCAGAGCAGCGCGGCCGTAACGCCGACCGCCTCCCGCCGCGCTCCTCCACCGCAGCCTGCGGGAGAACAGCGTTATTCCACGGGCCGCGTGCGGAGACCGCTTCCGTGCGGAGAGCCGCCCCGGCACCTCGGCTGGCAGCGTCCTTTCCAACCAGCGTCACCCGCAACGGGCGCACAAACGCCGAGGGGATCGCGCGGCTCGGTGACGGCACAGCCTGCCCCGCACAGCCCGCCGCCCCGCAGCACCGGGCGGCCGCGGGGCTCGGGCCCACCGGCCCTCGGCCGCCTCAGGGAGGCTCCTGACATGGCGGTCCCCCCGCGACATGGCGGCCCTCACCTGTGTCTTGGTGGTGAGCTGGATCACGGCCTTCCTGAAGTTCAGCTTGGAGTCCGCGCTGCCCATAGTGCGGGCTGAGGCCCGGCACAGCCTCACGCCGCCGCTCCGGCTCGGCCCGCCGCCTCCATCCGTCCGTCCCGCTGTCAAACCCTCGCGGACCGCGGCTCCGCCCCTCCCCGCCCCTCTCTCCTCCCCTCCCCGCGCTGCCGTCCCTTCGCTCCCTGCCCGCCCCTCCATCCCCAGCTCCTCTCCCTGCGCGCCGCTCTGCCGATTTTCCCTTCCTCCAAACCTCTCTCCCTGTCCCTGGCTCCCTCTGCCTTCTTACCCGCGTCCTTTTTCCACTCTCCACCCCCTTCCTTCAGCCCGCTCTCCTCCTCACCCATCGCCCTCTGCCCATCCTCGTTCTCTTCTTCCCCCTGAAGTTCCCTACCTGAGCCGAGGACGTTCTGTAGCCCGTGGGCCGGAGGCGTTGCCCCGCACTGCTCACCGCTGCTTTTACAGCTTTGCTGTTTTCCGCCCCGAGCAGACCCGCACCCACAGCAGCGCTCTGCGGGGCGCTGAGCTGCAGCTCGGCAGACCTCATTTCTTAGAGGAAGGCAGAACTGGATGGTGTTGCAGGAACGCACGGCGCTGGCCCGCTAAAGCAGGCGGTGGGAGCTCTCACTTGTTGGCATGCAACCGGTACAGAAATCACGCAGGATCGACTACATCGAGTGACAAATGGAACCACCCAACATTTCTCTCTTATTCCTCGTGTTATTTTCCTCCTCCATTGCTGCACACGAGGGCCAAGCACCAGGCATCGCTTTAACCACGCAGGGACCCTCAGCTGCTCGCAGCAGGGTTGAGGAAGCTCTCTGGTGCAGATCACGTCTTTTCTGGGCTCTTGCATAAACATCTTGCATGCCTTTCCTGTAGGCACCACTTCAGGTAATGCAATTGGGTATAAATCTGGGAGCTCCATCACACAGAAGGTAAAAATCCATCTACACACACTGTCACATTAGTTCATACCTTAGAGTCTCTGATGGACTCCATGGCTAACGAGGACAAACAAATTACGTAAACAGAAGTTTGCCTTCAAGAAAAAGAGAAAAACTTGGAGGACAAGCACTGACTTCTTATCAGGTTACCAAACGGAGGACACTGTAGAGAAGACACCAGGCTAAGGTGATGCTACGGGTTTGCTCATACGGGTCCCGTCTTTCACACCCACACCAACACATCCGAACCAGGTGAGAATGCCACATTCCCACCGGAGAGGAGGCTGACACTCACCCGAAGCCGCAGAGCCGCCCGCAGTAAAGCCGGACCGCCCCGGCCCGCAGCAGCGCGAATCGGGAGCCAGAGATGCCCGCACTCCGGGAGGGGAGCCTGAGGGCGGCTGGGCGTGGAGGAGGAGGAGGAGGAGGAGGAGGAGATCGGCCTCCCCCCCCCCCCTTCCCTGTCGCCGGCTTTCCTTGCAGCATTTCCATGCTAGAGGTCTCCACCGAGCTGCGGAGAGAGGATCTGCCTGGCTGCGCCGGGCCCTCTTCCTTCCTTTGTGCATCCCCCGGCCCCTCCGGCTACGTCCCCGTTTAATCCCCATCCCTTGGAGCCTCCCCCGGCCCCAGCGGCAGCAGGAGCCTCCCTCGGAGAAGCAGAGCCCGGCAGCGGCCAGGAGCCGGTTGCCACGTCGTACCACCCGCTTCCCGGCCCGCATCCCTGCCTCCATCCCTGCCTCCATCCCCGCTGCCGGCGGCGGTGGGGCCCCCTCGGCGCATGCTGCTCGCCTTCCCCGGCCTCTGCTGCTAAATGCTGAGTGCTGACAGGATGGAAGAGTTTCAGAGCGAGGAAGAGGAGCCCTGGTACGACCAGCAGGACCTGGAGCAGGGTAAGGATGGGGGGGACAGGCAGCTGCCAGGGGTGGAAGCCCAGGGGGAGAGGAAAAAAATGAAACAAACAGGAGGTGGGAGGTAAACTCTGAGTGAGGGGTGGGATACCTTATCTCAAGGCTTCTGTTTGCTCGGCAAACCCTGCATCTCATCTTGCAGCCTCACCTCCATGGAAACGTCAGCTCTGCTGCTCCCGACAGCCATCCTGAGTAAGGAAAGTTTGAGATGCAGGGAGCCCAAATCTGCCCTCAGCACCAGCCAGGTGTCCTTTGGCGGTACAGCAAGCTGGTTCCCCAGAAAACATGCTGGGGGCAGAATCCAACATGGAAAGTTCTGACATTGCCTTCATCTCCAGCTGGCTGTAGGCAGTCGTCAGGCACACTAGTTAGAAACAGATCTACAGATCTTACAAATAAGGTACTGCTAAGATGTAGCTGCTGGAAGTGTTGCCCAAAGCTCTTGCTGTCCAAGCTTAATCCCAAAGAATGCTTATAAGTAACCTTATTACTTCTGGAGGTTTCTTCAGTCAGCCATAGAAGTGGGAAAAATTGAGGAGGAGAGAAAGGAATGCCAAGGTTCAAACAGCAAAAATAGGTTTGCCAGAGAAAGATAAGCATTCACTTGTGTAATTTGTTTTGAAGTAACTGCCTGCATTTACACTAGTTCTTTGTAATGTTTATCCTAAGCCGTACAGTTAGTACCTGTGTATATTTGGGGCTTCTTTTTTCTGAATGCTTAGCTTCATATTTTGAGTCAACGTAGCTGAAAGAAGTTGTGTTTCAGAGCAGCTGCCAAAGAATGAACTGAATTGTCAATGTATAGAGAAGAGTTTTTGGTACCCAAACGCAGTTGCCCTTCTGACGTGTTATGCTCTACATGTGTTATGGTTCTACATCTGCTCCAACCAGCTGACTGCCAGCGGGGACATTGCAGCCCAGCTGCAGTGCCTCTGCCCACCACCACTCCAGTACATTATGTCGTGATTTGAAGTTTGCACAGCTTCAGCTGCAGGGCAGAGGCCCAGCAGGGAATGATAGCCAGCCCAGAGGGATTGTGCAGCTGTTTTTTTACCTCAATTTCTCAATTAACAGGAAGTATTAGTAGATGGATACTAGGCCATCTTGTTTCAAACACAACGCTCAGATTAAACCATGGCAGAGAAAGAAGATAGAGCTATCAGCTGGGTTAGCATGCAGCCTTCGACTCCTCAGAAATTCACATTTCTAGGTGTCATCTTCTCCTGGCTCAGCAGGGACCTGTGCACTGCCCAAGGGGCAGGAGGCAGACTGAGGAGCAGCAGCACTACAGATGAGCAGTGGGAGAGTTGAGCCACACAGGACTCAGGTTTTTAGCCTAATGCTGTCTCCGGTGTCAGGTTCGTGAGTCAGCGCTGGCTCCCTACAGTAAGAACACCTTCCTGCTGCTGGCCAGGTTCCCTGCTCTGTCCCAGCCATGTACATGCAGAAGAGCTAACTCCAGATGACAGATTCACGCTGAGGATAGGCTCCACCTTTGAGCAGACGCAGGACTGGAGGAAAACAGACCCAAAGCAAGTCCCAAGTGTGGGGCTCACTGTCTCTGTAAGGATGGGGGCTGTGCAGGCTTGCACAAACTTAGGAGAGATGGAGAAGGCTGTAACTGAAATCAGCCAGCTGGAAAGGTCCTGCGGGGTAATCACAACCATAATTAATTTGCACAATGCACTATGAAGGACAGTGCCAGGCTTGGTCCATGCCTGCCATAGCAGCATCCAGAGGTCCTTGGAGATGGTACAGTCCTGACGCTGTCAGTTTGGAAATTAGGAGTGGAAGCACAATGCAAGACATCCAGTGCAGCATGATTAAGAGTTGTGCTGGCATTACTGAGAGGAGCAGCATGCCAAGGGACATGCCAAAACCATGGCTGGCAGCAGCCAGGAAGACAGATGACAAAAGCAGAGACTAGTCCTTGGGAGCAAGGGTGGGAGCAGCAACGTGAGCTAAGGGAGAGAAGGTTCTGCTGTGCATCAGTTGGTTGCTGGCCTTATCATCTTCTCACAGCATCAAATATTTATTATACTTACACCCAAAACTGTTTGCTAAGCAATGGATGGCTTAACCAGGAGCTCCACGATGATTATGTTAATTAACCATTTTAGCACCACAGAGTTAACCATGCTTTCAGTTCTGTGCTGAGCACCTGTTACTTTCCTCCCCATCCTCCACAGTGCTTTGGCTTGCTGAATCAAATCAGTTTTCCCAAGAGAACAAACTCCAATTATTCTTTCCCTCCTGAAGGACCCATAGTCCTTCATCCATCACATGCCTTGGAGGCAGCAGGTCCCAGACCCCAGCCTCCCACCACACCCAAGTGGATTGGTGCCTTCCAGAACCCTTGACCTGTTCCCTAACAATAATCCCACACTGTTCAAGGTGATGTACATACCCTGAGCACAGGGTGTACGTGCAACCAGATCCCGAGAGAATGAACAGAAGCTAAAATTAGATAATCTGAGCTGGGGACAAGTGAGGATGTCTTTTCAGCTCATCATAAGCATTTGTGTTCAGAAGGCCATGTGCCAGCAGAAACACATCTGGATCCACACAGAGCAGAACAGACCCAGCAGCTATCTGGCAGCTCTCTGGCCTTGATCTCCACCTTTCCACATCTTCCCAGCCTCCCACCTCTCTGCCAGCACTCAGGTCTAAGACAGAGTGCAGCCCAACAGGAGGGCTCCCAACACTCTCAGGAGCCTGAATACAGCCTCAGTGTGTCAGCCAGCAGGACAAGGAACCAGAACCATCCCAACACCACTGCAAGACCAACAGCCCTCTCCTCCTGGGCAGCCACAGAAACTTTTGGGCCAAACCATCTGCAGTGCAGGCTAAGGACCTTATGGCTTTCACCTCTAAAGGTCTCCAGATTTAAGATACTTAATTCCTCCTCCTCCTGCCAAGCACCTGATTGCTTTGCTAAGAAAAAAAGACACAAGGTGCTGAGCTTGCACCACACTCCTCACTCATCCATGTGAAGACCCAGGGTCAGCAGTACACCGGTAACCAGCTGCAACCATACCCATCAATTTTCTGCATCACCCAGACATCAGATACAGGGTGGTCCATACAGCTGCAATCACACTCTGCTTGCCCAAACATTGGGGTGCAGATAGAACCCCAAAATCTGTCCCTCATGTTGCCTTCCTGGCAGCCCATCTCTGCAGGTGAGCCCTGCAGCCTGCTGCCTTCATCCCCGCAGCAGGCAGGACAGTGCTGCCTGCATAGCTGAGCCACTCAGAGCTGTGCACTGCCGCAGGCAGGTTGTGGAAGTAGAAAGTTTTCAGTAACTAATTGCTGAGCTGCTTGGAGATGATCAGAAGGACTAACGCACAGGGAAATAAGGTGGCATTTTGGTTAGTCTTCAAGGAGAGGAAAGGGTGAGAGCCTCCAATTCTGAGTAGAAAATATCCATATGCATTTTCCTAGAATGTAAGTTGTCCTGCTATGTGAAGGAGGCAAGCAAACAGGGAGTAAGAATCCTACACAGTGACTTCCAGGACCTGCCGCCTGTCTGACACAGAAACTCCTTTCTATGACTGCTGAACCTTGGGCACATACTTCCAGCTGTGGGAAGAAGCAGAACTGGGGGAACTACTGTGTGTTTGCAGCCTCAGGGCTGTCCTGAAGGACCTCCTGCCCACAGCAGCCCCAGCCGCTGCTTCTTTGTGGGCCAAGGAAACTTGAGGATGGCATCCATCCATGGTTCTACCTGCAGCTGTGGGCAGCTGTAGCAGTTGTGCTGAACTTGGTTGCCCCAGAACTGTTCAGGACCTGTGTTCCCTCCAGCAGGAGCAGCCAAGCCAGCCAACAATAGCTGCGGGTGGGGTGCTGTCCTCCCCAGTGCTGGGTCAGTTACAGCCTCCTGCCCCCAAAGCCATCAGGGAGATTCCCACATGGCAGAAGTCCATGCATTTGTGTCTTTAGCTTTAAGAGTAAAAGCTTCTCTCTACTCATGGTTCCCCACATCCCAACATAATTAATTAGCTAGAGCTTTGCTGCCTGGAGGGAGGGTGCCCACAGGAAAGTATTGGCTTCCTTTCTCTCTCCTCTTTCCTCACTTCTTCTCCTTATCTCCCTTTTATGTATTTATTTAGGGCTCTTTCTGGTTTCTGGTCCACGTGCACAATCAGGGCCTCCACCAGTCACCGAGCTCTTAGAAACCATCTTAGCCTACAAGGCAAACACAGGCTGTTTGGATAAGGGAGCAGTAGGGAAAGACAGATGCAGCCCAACCGTGGTCTAATAGCACGCTCTGCATTATCATGCTCTGGCAATACAGCAAAACACAAGTCGATGGCTGTGGGCACAGGATGGGACTGCTGTGGATGAGTTGGTGTTACAGCTTATAAGCAGGGGCAGCCAACCTAGGGCTCAGGCGTTAACTTATTGCCCACGCTTGGAGAGCCTCTCTGCAGCACAGTGTAGTACAGACAGCACATCCCTGAGCCCCTGCCCTGCTCCGGGATGGGATTCGCTGCCAGGGAGCAGGTGGGGTCACTGCTCTCATTGCCCACCAAGGTTTCCCAGACAGAGCCACTCTGTTATTCTTTGCTTGTCCTGAGCCCCTGCAAAATGCATCTCTGTGGTCACAGGAGCTCCCCCCTGCCAGGGCTGCTTGCAAAGCCAAAAGCAGCCCATAGGTTCAGAACAAACTATGCAAGAAAAAAAAAAAGAAAAAAAAAGAAAAACAAAAGCAAGCAGGCAATCCAGCAAATCTCATTAGACTAACAGAACTGCCCATGTGCCCAGAACTAGCTCAGCCCAACTGGAGCCATGCTTTGGATGGGCATGCTGACATGGCTTTTCCACATATGCCTGCAGGTTGTTTGTGAGATGTGTGATGACACTTGCTTCATCTGCACCCCAGCACATTCCCCTGCACAGGTTTGTAAGGGGTAAGCACTGATTCCCTCCACAACCTGTCACGGAGCAGCAGTAAGAGATATACAAAAACTGATCTTCACTGTAATGTATCCAGACAGCACAATCTCTTGCAACTAAGGAGAAAAATAAATGAGCAGTAAGCACACCCTACCCTGGGGTAAACCAGTATCGCATCATTTATTTAGATTTTGAAAGGAATAATTGCACCTGCCCTTGACTCTAAGTACCCGTGTGTAATGGAGCAGACAGCAAATACAATTAAATTAAACGTCAACAACATTAAACATCAGTTCTTAACTCTCAGCCTACCCCATCCATCAGCTCACAGACACCCTGCGCTTCCTCCAGAGTCCACGCACCAGGGTTCTGCTCGCTGCTCCTCCCCAGTGCTCAGCAGGTGAATTTGCTGTTGGCAGCAGCAGGAGCAGCCACCCTCACTGCAGGCTCTTTAGGAAAGGACCACAAGTAACTCCTAAACAGACACTGAACCAAAGGACACATCCTGCATAAAGCCCTGCACAGTGTGAGCCCAAGGACCTGTAACAGCCCTTGCAGGCCTGCCTGGCTCCCACAGCTCAGGATCACCACCAGCTCTCCCCAGGGACAGAGGGGCACTTAAACCCCTATAATTGTCTGCATCAGCCCTTCAGTCCCTGCTGAAAATCCCCAGACTTCAGCATTTCCTAAGGATATGGACATGATTTGTCCCATCTGACCAACAAGAACTCCAGGAAGAGCTGGATTTCTTATCAGAGAGAAGATGGGGAAAAGCCTAAAGCAGTGCTCCAGGTGGTGGCTTCCTCCAGAAAGCTGTATTTACAAAGACAGTGACACAGTTGTGCCAAGAGCTGCTGAAGCATTCCGTGCCCAACACAAAGCTGCAGCCAAGGATAGAGAAAAGCATCCTTCAGGGTGCCCAAAGAGATGCAGGCCAGCACCAGGAACACAAGAACAGCTGCAGATCTGTGTGCCATAACGCAAGCTGCCTCAGCCAGGAGGCATCCAGCCCCACAGCCGTTCACATCATCCTGTGCAGGGGTTGCTGCAGAATGCTGCTGCAGGGGAACTCCCTGTGCCTTGTTCCACAGTTTCTTTAAGAGAGTGACAACCTGCTGCAGAATCAGGACTTTTTGGGGGGGTGTTACCCAGTGATGCAGTCCCAGCACAATTACCTCTGGGTCACCTCTGCAGCTGCAAGACATTTGCCTCCCAAGATGAAGGAAAAACACTGCAACAGCAGCAGCTCCCCTGTGCTAGGCACTGCCCAGATCCAACCCCAGCTCCCCTCTCACCCTCCGCTCTCTCCTTGCTTTCCCATAGAAGCTCACAGGGAAGCACAGCCCTCCCTCTCTAGAGGCAGATCTTTGTTTAGGGCGTCTCCTGGGCTGCACACATCCTTGGGGTCATGGTCCCCACCTCCCCAAGACAATTTGATCAACACTTGTCTCCCCCAATCCCCTCCACAAGTCTGATATCCCTGTGGGCACTGTTTATAAGTTGAATGCTGGCTGTTTCACGGGTGCTGCCTTCAGCACCATGGCTTCATTTCTCCTTCTGCACAGAGCAGGGGAGGCATCACACGAATTGCTGAATTAGCACAGGCTGCACAGCACTGGCTGCCCAATCTGGTGGTGAAGAAGCGCAGAGGAACACAAAAGCCTGGGGGGAATTTAACAGTCCTTACTCCGCTGAGCATCCCCTTGATAAATTCACACAGGCCCAGGATGCCGTCCTCTCTATGGAGAGGAACTTCATGCGACCCAAGCTTGCTTGAACTAATCACAGCTTTTCTAATCAAGATAAGTCTGCTTTAAAGAGGACATTAAAACACATCTCTACAGCATCCCCTCCCTCCTACAGCCCAGGGAAAACAACAGGTGGGAAGGAAGGGACTCAGCAGGTGTGGGGCAGACAGGATTAGGGGGATGCTTCAGCCGGAGTGTGGTGATGATTGCTGAGGCAGTTTAGTGACGCTGAAAAGACCAACTTGCCCACATCCTTCAAGCACGGAATCTCTCAGGCCCTTAAGCTCACAATGGAAAGAAATTTCCTCCTTGGAGCTCACCCCTGTTCTTTCTTCTTTCCCAATTTTCCCCAGACACTGCCCATTTCCCCCATTAAATGATTGCTGAGTCCTTTAAATTACAATGTAGGATCTCACACTACGTAATCCACTTAACTCAACTCCAGCTGATTAAATTGGATGCCATATGGCGAGAGAGCATTGGGGTAATCCGCAGGGACAGGGACACACTTGACTCATTACCTGAAGCCCTCTGCTCCATGCCAGGCTCTCCTTGCTTCAGAAATCAAGTAGGACAGATGTGATTTGCAACATGCCCCTCTCCAGCAAGGACAGGGGCTCTGGCAAGGTGGCAGTGCCATTAAACACTATCCCAAGCTGCTTAAAGGCACAAGTTCTCCTCTGTCTTCGCTGGTGTCTGGCTGTTTTTCCAGTCTCTAGCTGGCACAGCAAACACTCACTCCCCTGTGGGCACTTTGGAAACCAGAGAAATTCAGTGCTCAGCAAAAAGAAGTCTTTCCTAGAAGGATACATCCCTATAGCCCAGGAGGGCTCACAGCCCTCAGATCAGGTAGCTGTGTGACAGTGACAACTATGATTAAAAAGACATTTCCTAGAGTAACACCCTGAATGAGGGCACTGCTGAGAATCCCTTCCCACGGTAAAGGGGAGATCCGAGGACACACAACAGCTGCTAGGGAGATGGCCCCCAGCACCAGTGGGGCCAAAGCAATCATCACTCAAACTAATAACACAGCAGCACTTCCCACAGCGTTATCCAAAAGGAGGATCACATCCTAGCACTCCTCTCATGTAAGAGATTGCGTCCAAGCAGCCAGCATCAGCCTCATTTTGCAACGTGACTTCTAAAATGAGCAATTTTCCCAGGCACAGGATATACCCAAGGGGTCCTGATTCCCCCCCTATTATTCTATTAATAAGTTATCACTGCTTCCCAATCAATTGCATATCCAAATTAACTGCAGGGAGAAACTACAGCGGCTCTCAGCCCCAGCAGTGGCTCTACAAAACACATTATAGCTGCAGGCTAGGGACCAGGGTAGTGATGGGCTGAGAAAATACCAGGGCAGGAGCAGTAACACACAGCTATACCTGGTTTCCTACCTTCTTGCTTTGAAGGCTTAGGGTCAGGCTTACTTGCTGGTACCAAACAAGCCAGACACTCCCCCCCCTGGGAACACCAAGGGAAATGAATGCCCATACAACTGCCTGAGGCCGGGCTTTGTAAAGACAACCAATTGGTTGGAAAGCAGAGGGCTACAATCAGAGCCAGCTGTGCCACCTCGGGCTCACAAACAGCATCACCTGAGGAGCTCAAGCTTTGGCCAGCATAGGAATCACAGAGTCCTGGGTTGGGGTTTCTTTACCCAAGACAGCAAACTCGGTAATTTAAGCAGCTCACACTGTCAATGTTTATTTTCCCTACACTCCTCCTAACACCCAAACATCTCAGCAGCCTCCCCCAAAGCATTCAGAGGTGGCAGTAAGGGAATACATAGCGTTGGTCTTCGCCTTGGAGCTACCCGGAGGAGTGCAGCAAGGCTGCAGGGCCGCCAACCCCTGGGGCCATGCACAATTCTATTGCTCATGTCACTCTGTTAGTGGTGATGGATGGAGGCTGACAGGGAAGGCATGGTAATCCCTTCATTAGAGATAACAATATCATTACAGAGCATCCCCAAGGCTCTGCAGGGCCTCACCAACCCTTGTTCTCATCCTGGAGGATGCTGAGCCCCAGTCAGGCCCACAGGAGATGGGGATGAAGATGGGGATGGGGGACTGATCTTCAGCCTCAGCCGAGCCTTGTGGGTCTGATCCTGGCTGCACAGTGCATGGTGCCATGCAGAAAGGTGATGTAGGCTGTCTCAAGCTCAGCTACCCTTTGCTCCTGCAGCCCATCAAAGATGGAATAGGACAGATTGTGAATGTCCTGTAAATGTGTATCCGCATCAAAACCTGCTGCTAAAGCAGCCCTGTGCAAAGCAAGCTGTGCGTGGAGCAGGAACCACAGCGACTTTGTCCCTTCTGCTTTTCAGACTTGCACCTGGCTGCTGAGCTGGGGAAGACACTGCTGGAACGCAACAAGGAGCTGGAGGAGTCCCTGCAGCAGATGTATGCCACCAATGAAGAGCAAGTGCAGGAAATCGAGGTGGGGACACACGCTAGGGACAGGAGTGGCTGGGTCACTGCTGTCATCTCAGAGTGACGCTGCCAATCCCAGCAGCACAGACTGGAGGAAGGGATGTGCCATGGGGGATGAAAGCAGAAGTCCCTTCCATATGTGCCTGCAGCAGGGTGGATTAAGGTCTGGGTGAGGTGCTCCCAGCCACGGCTGACTGACCCTCTCACCCCTGCACAGATGTGCACCAGATTTTGGCACCGGCGTTGGTTGCAGCTGCGGCACATGTGGCCTCTTCCTGCCCAACCTCTGTGCTCATTTCTCAGCACTCTGCTGCTGCTTTTCCTTGGTTCCAGGCGCTCTTAATCACGTTTGTTCTCGGCCAGCCCCTTGGCACCCCCTGAACACAGCCTCCTTTGTCCAAGGCACAAAGCAGCTTTTTCTCAAAGAGCTGCAATCTGCAGTGCAGTTTCATGCACCCTTTGGGCTCAGGGCATTACTGCCCACGGCGCCAAGCCGAGAGGCTTAAACTCACTGCGCAGGGCGGGTTTGCATCTACTGGAAGACTTCCAGAGATCTGTGAATTAAAAAAAGATTGGAAACCACCAATTTACAAAGGCATGGGGCAGAGACAGGCAGGGAACTCTCAGCACATGGCACTGCAAGGAGCGGAGAGAAGGGCTTTGTGTCTTCACAGCCCCAGATTTAGGATCTGATCCCAGCCAGTGCCCTTGTGCCACGCTGTGCAGGGTGAAAGCTTTCGGACTGCTGCAGAGGCTGCAGGAAGGGGGCTATGGCCACAGCTCTCACATTTCACAGATTCAGACTTTCTGCAGCCTGAATTCCTACAGAAATGCAGCCTCTGCGATTGATCTGTCAGATGATGCAGTAACCATTGGGCCGAGCACACTCAGCTCCAGTAAAGAGTCACATTCTCAGGGATATTGATTTCCTTGGGGTATTGTGAATAAAAAAGAAGCCAAGTAGAGAGAGTGAGGTTAGTGCTCTTCACAGAGGATGAGGGGAGGGGGGGGAGAAATCATGTTTTAGACACGCAATCATGTAAGCAGGAATTCCTCCACTGGAAGAAGCTTCAGTCAGATGGAGGATAAACTGGCCACAAGACACAATGAAGCTAAGGCTGTAGGAACTTCTGCTCATGAGACAACCTGGGTTTGGGATGTGGAGTGTTTTTTTTCTCTTTTTTTTTTTCTTGCAGTACCTGACCAAGCAGCTTGAGATGCTACGGCAGATGAATGAGCAGCACGCCAAAGTCTACGAGCAGCTAGACCTAACAGCACGGGACCTGGAGCTGGCAAATCAGAAGCTCGTGCTGGAAAGCAAGACATCCCAACAGAAGATACAATGGTACAGCCTCCTCTGGTCCCACACAGTGAGGCTGGGACCCCTATCCCACCTTCCCCCCACCCCAGGGCTCAGCGTGCTCTTGCTGCTCCAACCATTCTCTTATCAGGCAGGTTTGGCAGCTGGGACCAGGCACAGAGAGGCACAGAGACCTTCCTGCATGGAGGATGAGCCTCCTTCAATAAGAAGCACATGATGGTACAAGGGAGGTTCTGAGCACACAATGCACTGGGCACGGATCCAGCATTTAGCTAGACCAGTTGGTCGATAACTTCTGCTCATACAACAGCCTCACGACCAAGGTCATCCCTGGAAACAGACTAAGCCACGTCCTTATGCTACAGCATCTTCTGCAAACAGCTGTGCAGATAGGGAGCCTCAAAGCAGAGGGGGAGTTTTGGAGCAGCTTTAGGAACTGTGCTCACAGCCAGAATAAAACAAAATTTCTGTCTTGTGTTTATTTCTACAAGAGAAACAAGAGGAAGAGTAAAGTGCTTGAGCCCTTGTAGTGCAGAGATAATCCAGGATAGCGCTCGTGTCTCAGAGCTGACTCAACCAACAGATTTGAGGTTAGAGGGTCTTCTGTTGGTGTATCCCTTGGCTCTGCTGTAGTCCTCCCTTTTTTACAACCCACACCACTCAAAAGGGAGAACAGCCTCTGCCATGACAGCAAGCACCTTCACGCCCTCAGGGCACATGCTAGGACCTCCATAGACCAGCTTTCTCATTGGGGGGAAAAAAAAAAAACCTTTCAAAGATCTGTGACTGCTGTGCCCATCTCCTCACCTTGCTCCCTGCTCTCTCCACAGCTTGACGGAAACGATTGAGGGGCTGCAGAACCAGGTGGAGGAGCTGCAGAAGCAGGTGGAGGAGATGCGGAGCTTGGAGCAGCTCCGCATCCGGCGGGAGAAGAGGGAGCGGCGCCGAACCATTCACACCTTCCCCTGCCTGAAGGAGCTGTGCTCCAGCCCCAGGTATGGAGCAGGGAGGGCAGAGCTGTGGCTCTGGTGGCCCTACAGCCTTCTGTCTCTGCAGGGAGGCAGAGGGTCAGTCTCTTTCTCCAGGACAATTCCAGCAATTCCCATAGCCCCAGCAGCACAAATGAAGGTATGCCACATACTGCACAAACACCTTCAGCACTATTGCTCACTTGAGCCTCCTTAAATCCCTGCCACCGTGCTAACTCACTGACCCTCTAAGGATGTTTCCTGCTCAGCTTTGTCCATAATAGAGGCTTCTTTAAATAGATAAGTAATCAATAAAGTTTTTTACTGAAAGCGTTCGCTGCGAGAGGATACAAACAGCGGCACAGGGGATGTTATGAGGGTATAAAACCCCCAGCAAAATCCACTTGGTGTTCCAGCGGTTCTTCCCCCACATCCTCCCAGTGTCCCTCCATGCCTCATGCCCACAGTGTTGCCGCTCTGCAGTCGGCTCTGAAGGTCACTCTGCCCTTCAGTAACTTAGAAATCTGTTCAGTATCCCCCGCCTCCTGCCACGCCTCGGGGGGAAACCATGGAGCTTTCCTTTTTTCAATCTGTTCCAACAAGACAGGATGCCACAGGCGCTTCAGTGAGGAGAAAAAAATGATCTCCCAACAGAAGGGGGAAGTGCACTGTATTGCTTCCCAGGAAGGGAGCAATGAAGAAGAGGCAACTGATCACATCAGCATCTCTGCCTCCTCCTTCACCTGGAGGATTTGGAACTGGCTGCCCAGGGAGATGGTGGAGTCACCGTTCCTGGGGGTGTTCAGAACTGCGGAGATGTGGTGCTGAGGGATGTGGTCAGATGGGCTGGAGTTGGGCTGGATAACGTTAAAGATTTTTTCCAACCTTAGTGATTCTATGATTCTTTGATTTGCTCACACACTTTCTACTCTTCCAGGTATGAAGATGCATTCCAGGTCCACAGCTCCTCAGCAGAGTTCAACCAGAAGCCGCTGGAGCGGGAGAACGAGCGCCTCCAAGCCATGGTGGATTCCTTGAGGTCCCAGGTGAACCAGGAGAAGCAGCGGAAAGAGCGGGTTGAGCGGGAGTACAGCTCTGTGATTCAGGAGTACTCGGACCTCGAGCAGCGCGTGTGCGAGATGGAGCACTGCAAGCTGCGCATCAAGGAGCTGGAGGCAGAGCTCGTGGAGCTGCAGCAGGTGAAACAAGTCAAGAAGTATCTGCTCAGCAGGGAAGACAACCTGTCTGAGGCCCTCCTGGAGCCACTGAATAACGCCCCAGAAGCAGATTACATCGACCTCTCAGAGGAAGAGGGAGGGAAAAGTCACGGGCCCTCAATGACACCTTCCCCAAACCACCCCGTCCGGAAGAGCTGCAGTGACACAGCTCTCAATGCCATCGTCACCAAGGATGCCGTGAGCCGGCACGAGGGCAATTACACACTGCATGCCAACAACGTGCGCAAACGGGGCATGTCCATCCTGAGGGAGGTGGACGAGCAGTACCATGCCCTGCTGGAGAAGTACGAGGAGCTCCTGAGTAAGTGCCGGCAGCACAAGGACAGCGTGCGTCACACAGGGGTGCAGACCTCCCGCCCCATCTCTCGTGATAGCTCCTTCAGAGACTTCCGGGGAGAAGGGTTTGAGTTGGAAGAGCGAAAATCCATGGAGAAGACCATCAGCAAACACGTGGAGGCCGTGGACAAGCGGCTGGAGCAGAGTCAGCCCGAGTACAAGGCTCTGTTCAAGGAGATCTTCTCCCGCATCCAGAAAACAAAAGCGGACATCAATGCCACAAAGGTGAAAAACAAGAGCAGCAAATGAGCCCTGCCCCTCTGCGATCCCCGCCTGCTATCCCAACAGCCGAGTCTTCTCTTCAGCTCCAGGAAACGTC